AGCATCCATATACTACCTTAGGGGCCCTTTTCGAGGCGCAGAGCCCCAGCAGGGGCACTCGAAGACCTGGACCCCCCACGGGCCTTTACCTTTACCTCCTCCTCCTCCTCCTCCTCCTCCTCCTCCTCCTCCTCCTTCTGCCCTCCTCCTCCTCCTCCGTTTCACACCTGTGGTAGTGGTGGTGGAACATCGGCCCACCACGCCAGGGTCCTCAGATGACCGAGCGCGGTGCGATCGCAGCGCTCGGCGCCGCTCGGGTTTGGCCTCCCCGCGGCCCCCGACCGTGGCGCACCAACAGGTCACCCCTCCCCGGGGTCACTCCTGGGGGCTTCGGGCCGAACGAAAGGGGGGGGGGACAGGAACAGGGCAGGAACAGGGGGGGGGGGGGGGGGGCGAAATCTGCTGCATGCAGCTGGTTGCGGCCCCGTCGCCGGGCCCGTTCCTCGCTACATGGGCGCCCCCCGGCGCCGGGAGGCGCTGGGGAAGTCGGCTACACGTGAGCGTATTCGCTCCCCTCCCCTTTGCCATCCCCTCCCCTTTCGTCCCCCCCGAGTGCTGCCGAGAGGCCGCCGAGAAGCAGGGGGCGAACCCGTGGGAGCGCGTCGTCGACCTCATCAGCACGAGCGCCCGCCCCGCCGACGAGGCGCGCGACACGTCGCGCATGCGGGCGCTGCTGATCCAGCTGAAGAGCAATCCCGGGAGGAGAGCAAACGGCGCAGACGAGGAGAGTCGCAGGTCCTCGCGGATCGCTCGGACTCGTGCTGGGCCCTTGGCGGCGCCTCTGGCTCCCGAGCGCGCCACGATGGGGGGTCCAGCTCAGGTCCAAGAGATCCGCGCGAATCCGAAGGAAGAACAACGGAAGCCATGCCAAGACGTCGCGGGATCTTCTCGCTGTCGATCTCGGTCATGGTCCATATCGGCCGTCGCCGACTCGCGAAGTGACTCACAAGCTGACGCTGACCAAGATCGGCGCTGACCAAGATCGACACGACGTTTCCGTGCTCAGTCTTGGGCAAGCAAGATGGGGATATAACGAGGATAAATATGTTCCAGAGCATTCCGGAACGCTCTCAGAGCGTTCCAGAACGTTCTGAGAAGGCCGCGGCGCCCGATGCATTTTCCAGAGCCGCTGGATTGCAGAGATTCTCGATTTATCCTCACCCGAATATATCCTCGTTCCAGCTTCGGCTTGTCATTGTCCTCGTCTTCTTCCCCCACCATGAACTTCCGAAAGTTTATGTCTGTGCCGTTTCTTCTTCCTCTGCATCCGGTCGTCGCCGTGGGCTGAGCGACGTCCGGCGCCGCACGGCGGCGGGAAGCCAGGGCGCTGGGGGGAGAGGGCCGTTTGTCAGGAGAGGAAAAACACACAGACACCATTAATCTTCGATCCCCCAGAAATAAGGGAATCTATAGGAAGTGGGGGGGAAGACAGAAACCCAGAAAATATTGCAAAGTATAGGGAATCTCTTTATTTGTGTGTATTTATTTGTGTGTCCTGGGGCCCCTTCAATTTTGGGGGGGGGAGCAGATCCTGAGGGAAACGGGTCCCGAGGTCTTTCGCCGTTTTCGGGCCCTCGGGGCCCTCCACGGGCCTCGGGAGTGTCATGGCGCCAACACGGCAGAGCGGATCTCGTTCGGCACTCGATCGGATGCGCCCAGATTGTCCAGGCGAATTTCGCTCTGGATTGCGAAGCGCATGTCGTGCGAGTTTCTTGGGCCAGTGATGAAGACTACAAAAAATCCACGTGACTTTCACGTCGTTCTTCGCCCGCCGCGCCAGGGTTTTACATTGACAGACATCCACGCACAAATCCGCTGCAGCACGTCGGCAAGGTCGGTGCACTGACGAGTGGTAGCAAACGACTCGGGATGATGAACTGGTCTTGGGGGAAGGCCCCAGGATATGCTAAGGGGGGGGGGGCTGGGCGGTGGCAGGGTAAGTTTCTCGGTGTTCTCTAAACGATCCCCATCCTCATCCCTACGGGGCCATGGGAATTCACCGAGCGCGTTCCACTACTCGCAAAGCGCCTACTCACAAACGTCCGAAATAGACATGGTTGCCTCGATGTAGATTGGATCGTAGATCCCCCGCGGCGGATCCAGGCCGTTTGCGAGTAGTTATCCTGCGAGTAGTGGAGCTCGCTTGTTTAGCAAGTTTACCCCCAGAATTAGAAAGGGAGGCCCCCCCCGTCCTCTCTCACAGAGGGTGGAGCAGCGCTCCCAGCGGCGAAAGATGTCTTATTCTTCTCCTGCGGCTGCGACGGCTGCGGAGTTGCGACGTTTCAGCTGTGGCTGACCGCTCTGATTCACGTGATGTCGAGAGCCGTGGCTCCGGGGATATGAGGCCGCTCGAGCACTGATCTCGCGCAAACATATGCTTGTTTTTATAGTTGTTGGGTTCGCGCTACCTTAGCTCCACCAGGGAGCAGCATAGATCCCCATCTAGGAGGGCAAACCGACCAGTGGGACCCAGGCCACGCCAGTCGGGAAGAGGGTCTGTGAGACTCGGCATCGCTCGGACGTGTGCATTTTTCCTCCGGCGAGGACCATCGAGGAGCATCCCATTGGGCGAAAAAAAACACGCACGACACCGAAAACAACAGGGAATGGACGTCCGAGCGATGGCCAGGAGACGGTGCTCCGTCCCGCACCGCCCCGGGGGGGGGGGGGGGGCGAGCGGGGAAGAGGGTCTGTGAGACGCCAGTGGGGAAGAGGGTCTGTGAGACGGTGGGGAAGAGGGTCTGGGACCCAGGCCACGCCAGTGGGGAAGAGGGCCTGCGAGACGGTGCTCCGTGCCGCACCGCCCTGGGGGGGGGGGGCGCGGGCGGCCCCATGCGGTCGCTGCTCGGAGCTGCTGCCCTCGCCCTCTCGCCCTGCGCAGGCGCACGGCACGATCGACGCAGCGCCCGCGACACCAATGTGTTGATGGGAGCCGGCTGGGGGTCCTCCTCCTCCTCCTCCTCCTCCTCCTCCTCCTCCTCCTCCTCCTCCTCCTCCTCATCATCATCATCATCATCATCATCCGCTTCTTGTCCGCTTGCCCTCTTCGCGTCTCTTCTTGGGTACCCCGACTCCTCCTCCTCCTCCTAGCTCCTCCTCCTCCGCCCAGCCGTGGTTCCGACCCGCAGACAGGAAGGGGACGAGGACCCCCTCGTCGCCACGGCTTGGCGCGGCTCGCGGAGAAGTGGTCCGTGGCGGCCTTGGGGGAGGTCTGGAGGCAGAGTGTGAGCGAACATTGGCCTGTATCCGTCGCCCTTGACCGTTTTTTTTCGGCCGGGCTGCTCCGGCTCGGGCCCTCGGCCGCCTCCCAACACGTGCATGTGACTGCATACTGCTCTGGGCGTAGGCTTGATGCAGCGTGGCAGAACGCAGCACCGCAATACAGTCGAATTAGCTACTTCCCTCGATACGGCATTTCGCGACAATTGCGACGCCGTCTCGTCTGGCTGGTCGTGCCGAAGCACGTTGTCAGCCACAGGGGTTAGTGCCTTCGCAAGTATTGTTCGTAAGTGCAGTCGAGTCGCATGGCCAGCAGTTGTCTGAGGTCTCCCACAACGTATCTGCCACATCAGAACAGATGTGTGCCCAGCGCAATCCCAGGGCTGCTCTGCGCCCGCTGCTTAGAAAACACTTCCCCGAGCTTCTGCTGGCAACCAGCCTTCCTCGCCATGAATGGAGGGGCCCTGAGGGAAATCGGGTCCTCGGACCCCTTGGAATCAGCAAGAGGCCGTCGAAAGAGGAGGAGGAGGATCATGTGGATAATAAATTGAAGAACCAGGAAGGGGAGGAGAGGAGGATGAAGAGAGAGGTGAGAGTGAGGATGAAGAGAGGAGGATCAGGAGGAGCAAGAGCAGGAGCAGGAGGAGGATGGAGAAGGAAGGGTGGACGACGACAACGACGACGATGACACGACGAGGAGAAGAGAGAGGAGGAGGAGGAGGAGGAGGAGGAGGAGGAGGAGGAGGAGGAGGAGGAGGAGGAGAATGACGACGACGACGACGACGACGACGGCGGCAGGAGCCATCCATGAAGAAGACCTTCGCTGATCCGTCGCTCTTAGAGTTTCTTGGAAGCCTCAAGGAGCCATCTTGAATCACTCGCGGAGCCATTGTGGAAGTCTCCCAGCCCTAATAGAACCCTTTGGTAGGCCTTGAGGACCTTCCTCTCGGGGTAATATGTGAGGGCATCGATTAAAGAGAAGTAGTCTCGCCCGGTCAGAGCCTCACAGGTCGCCTCTTTGTGCCTCCTGGGCACGCTGGACTTGTTCTGGGCCCAAACTGGGGTGGGGCCTCCGGGCGCGATCTTGGGGGAACATCTTGAGGCCTGGGAAGCCACTCGGAAGCGAATGCCCGAGAAGGCAAACAGCACGCAGTTTCCGTTGGTTTCAGGATGATGTTGGCCTATTCGGGGTCTCTTCGGGGCGTTCCGTGGCCACTTGGAGCCGTGCTGGGCTGGTCATGTGATCTCTTGGGGGCATGTTGGGGGACACAGTGAGTCACGTTGGACCAGCTTGCGGCATATTCAAGCCAGTTTTGAGCACCGGCCTTCTTGAGCCCGCCAAGTGGCCTCTGGGGTCCCTCTTAGGACGCCCGCGGGGCCGTCTTGAAGGCCTGATGGGCCCCCCTTGGGTGCTCTCTTGGGCCATCTTTGACCTCAGAGACCAGTTGGTAGCGAAACGTCGAGAAGGCACACATCATTTGTTCTCCATCCGCTCGTAGGCGCATCCTTGCGAGGCTCCGCGGCCATTCGGAGCCGTCTTCGGGAGGTCCTGGCATAGGGCATTTTAGAGGCATGTTGATCCATCTTGCCCTATCTTGTGCGATATGGGAGGCCATGTTGTGCAAGCTAAGGCCATCTTGGAGCCATCTTTGGTCACAAAGGACCCTCTGACACCTCGTGGCCTCCCCCGTCCAGACCCAGGTGAGGGACTTCCCTCCTTAGGGCGTGTTAGCCCCTCCAGTCGCCGGAAGAGCACGGCACCGAGGTGTGTCCGGGGGGGTCCGCATCCCAAAACAAGTCCAAAGGCATTCAAGAGGCGCCGAGAGGCCTCCAATACCCAAGAGGCCTCCAAGACGCCCTATCAGGGCTGCAAGAGGAATCAGTAGCCACTTGTGCTGAAGCCTGCTGCAATTTGGACCCGATGGCACAATTTTCATATTTGTCCATGTCAGTTGTGGCAGTGGTGTCTGTCATGATGTGGTCTTTTCAGTCCCAACGGACAGCAGTGCCGGTGTTCGCTTTTGGTTACCAGCAGTGCGATTTTCGTAACATGGCAGATTGTGAGGCGCTTGAGAAAGTAGACCGTGCCACTTGAGCGGATGGCCTTGCCGCTCATTGGACAGACACTCGATTTCGTGAAGGATCCAAGCGACTTCATTGCCAAGGGGTTCGACTAATTTGGAGGCACCTTTTATGTTAAGCGTGTTGTTCACAACCACAGCGTCCCTCAAACCGACCGCTGCGATTTTGAAGTTCTTCTTTTCCACAAAAGGATCGTTGTTGGCCCTCTCACTGGCTAGACGTTGTGGTCCAGAAATATTTCCCGATAGTGAACGGCCCGCTCCACAAGCGAATGCACACCGCCAGTCGTACGTTTCCCGCCGCAGCAGTTGCATTCTTATTTGGGTACACGTCACGCTTTCGCACAGAAGCATAGCAACAAGTGGACTACATAGACTGAGGTCAGAGAAGCCGGTCATGCCGTCTAAACGTACACATTAGAGTTCATGCAACAGATAACCCCTGGCTCTGACATGCCTGCCCAGGAGTTTCAGCACATGATGTCCCTGTTCGATACAACAATTGGTTGCCTTGCCTGCCTGCTTCCTGTGGGCTTGCCTCTTTCCCATTGGAGGAAAATCAGTAGCTCTCGGCGACGGCGGACCGCAATCTACCAGAAGGTAACAACGAGAAGCGTAAACCGCCACCCGCAAAGCCCTCGTCGATGCTCGACCATGTCATGACCAACTGTAACCTGGATTGTGAGTTGCCGAGCGACCTGGGGCTTGAAGCTATCTGCGTGGCCATGGCATTCGCTTGGCACGATACCATCCTTGGAACAACGCAGACGATGCGGCACCGCTCGGATGCAAGCCCAAGTGTGGAGTGCGCGCTGCGGCAGGAGGTCGACTCGGTACGGGGCGGGGACGGCAGCTCGCCGGTGACGCAAGCTCTTCTGCAGAAGCTGCACAGGTGCCGCACGTGCTGGCTAGAGTCTCTTCGGGTTACTCCTCCTCTGCAGACCACGTCGAGCAGTCTTGCAGCAGACGCTCCAGTGCATGGTTTATGCACTGGAAGCTGGCATAACCATCATGCTGGCGTCAGCGTCTATTACGAAGTCCTTAGTCGGCGCGGGCAGCGCAGAGTTTCGAGTTGATCGGTATCTTGATCGGCTGGGCTCTTTTCATGACAAAAGACAACTTTGATCAGGTGTCAGGTTTGGGTGTGGCGGCCGCATGATCGGTTACAAGGCTGCGCCAGATGAGATGGCCGTCTTGCTTCCGAATTGATTTCATGGCTACGGATGTACGGCTGCATCACGGAAGCATGTCCATGTCCCGTCCAATTTCAATCGAGTGACGGTTTCTCATGCGAAGGCCCAAGTGTAAGACTATGCTCCAGGTTGCAGCATCCTGAGATTGTTGACTTCGATCCTGTTCATAAAGTTCAGCGTTTGTCAACTTCGCCGTCCCATATTCATAGTTAGGCGTGTAGAGTTGTCTCTCTTTCTTTGTGTATGTTTTCTTTTATCTCTCTCTCTCTCTTTCTCTCTCTCTCTCTCTCTCTCCCTCTCGCTTCCAGCCCTCGCCGACTACCTCCACCTGCATATCACTGGAACGCAATCGGAGCTTTGGGATCTTATTCCCCGTCCCTTCAGGACAAGTAGACAGGGCTCGAAGGGGACCCCCAAGAGAACCCACGGCGGCAAACAACACGTCACATTCCTACAGGGAACCTGACATTTTCAGTATGTTCGTTGTCTTGTTCTTCACAGCGCCCAAGGGGGTCATGAGGGGCCCGGGAGGAGTCCAAGACGGCCCACGAGGCCCCAACGACCCAAAACGGGCCCAAGAGGGGCCCCCAAACGCCCCTCCATGTTTTGAACGGACACCAAAGCCCGAACAATGCCCACCCGCTCACGAGAGGGTGAGCGAGAAGCCAGCAAGGCCCCCCGAGGCCACCACTGCGCCCCCAAGACGTGGCCGAGACCCTTCAGGGCCTCCAGATGGCCCCCGGATGGCCCTGGAGGGGCTCATGAGGGGCCCTGGGAAGGAGCCCAGGCAGCCCCCGCGGGGCCTCCAGGGCGCCCCCGAGACGGGCCCAACAGGGCAGCGCGAAGGCCTCAGGCCCTTTGCGTGTTCCGAAACGGCCAGGGAGGCCCGCCCAAGGCGGTCGTTTTTTTATTCGTTGTTTTGCCGATCGGCGCGGGCCCTCGCACCCCCCTCCCTCCCCCCCCCCGTGGAGTAGATCTCGGCTGTTTTGGGCGCCTGTTCCGAGCAGGCGGAGCCTCCCCCCCATAGGACGCACTGCTGCAAGCAGTCGCACTAAGCAGGGTTCCGGAGCCAGACCACCACCCCTCCCCCCCCCTTCCTCCCAATGTCGAAACGCCGAATTAAAAAAACGCTCACAAGACGGTCCTCGAGGCCCCCAAGACACCCCAACGACGAGTCCAAGAGAGCCCCAAGAAGGCCCCAGGCCCATCCGGCTTCTCGTGAGGGGCCAGCGGTGCTGGTCTGGTGTACCGTGCAGGTCTGCCGTGCTGCTCTGCCGTGCCCGTCGTCTGCCGTGCTGGTCTGCGTTGTTGGTCTGGCATCCTCCTCCTCCGCCTCCTCCTCCTCCGCCTCCTCCTCCTCTTCCTCCTTTTCCTCCTCCTCCTCCTCCTCCTCCTCCTCCTCCTCCACATCCGCCTCCTCCTCCACATCCGCCTCCTCCGCCTCCTCCTCCTCCTCCACATCCGCCTCCTCCTCCTCCTCCTCCTCCTTCTCACCGGCCTCCTATCTTGGTCCCATTCACCACGTTCGCGCTCTGTCTCAGCCTTGTGCTTCGGTCATTCGGATAGCACGGGTTACTCGAGGGGGACTCGAGAGGGAGAGTATTGCAGCGCAGGGCAGGGGAGGGGTGAAGCCCCTCCCCAAAGGGAAAGAAGAGGTCGGAAGATGGCACGCGCTAAACTTTGGGGCTGGTGGGATTCTCTGACATTCAGCCGTACACATTGTCATATTGGCCTTCTGGAGAGATGTGATTGTATGCGGAGGCTCATGATCGCCACCGCGATGTAGCAGGCATTGGAATTTGGGCCTCCCAAGAGAGGGGTCGGCCTGGGGTGTCGCACGGGCCCGCTCGCGCGCAGAATTGGTGGGACCTCGGGCAGACGGCTTGCATTAGGGGAGAGAGACGCGCCTCATTCCAGAGACGGATTGTTGTCCGCCTGCTGGCGCCCTCCCCCCGCCGTAGGGTGCCCCGCGAAACGTGGCGGACAGGGCGTGGAGCTCCCCAAAAAAAGCGACGTAGCAGACATGGCACCTAGGCCTCCCAGGGGGGAGTGGGTCGACCTGGGGTGCTGCGGCACCCTCGTCCCGCTCGCGCCCGGATCCGCGGGGCCCCTCGGGTGGAGTCCGTCTCTCACTCTCTCTCTCTCTCTCTCTCTCTCTCTCTCGGGGGTGGACAGAACCCCCAACAGTGACACGTCGATTAGTGAATTGTCCGTTTTCGGTTCTCGAGAGGGCGCCCTGGTCGTTATTTTCCAGGCTTGCGCCCGCCAGGCTTGGGCCTCAGGTCGTTTTCACTAAACCACGTTTTACCCGACTCTCTCTCTCTCTCTCTCTCTCTCTCTCTCTCCAGCTCACCTCGAGAAGATAGGCAGGGCACTTCGGCCTCCCACGGTGGGCCGGCCTGGGGTGCTGCACGGGCGTGCGGGCCGGTTCGCGCCAAGATTCGTGGGACCCTGCAAGTGGCGCAGCTGCTGTCGGGGACGCGTTTTTTTTTTTTTTTTTTTTTTTTGTTGTTTTTTTTTCCGGAGCCCCCCGGTCATCGTGATGGAGCAGGCATTGCACCTCGGTCCCTTGAGAGGGGGTTCGGCCTGGGGTGTTGTACGGGCCCGGTCGCGCCCCGATTGGTGGGACCTCTTCGTTTTTTTTTCGTGGGAGGCACGCGTTGATCGTTGCCGCGATGTGCCAAGCATGGCCCCAGGCCTTTCCCATGGGGAGTCGACCAGGGGTGCTGCACGGGCCTGTTTGCACCTAGATGAGTCAGATCTCTCAGTTGGAACATGTGTCGTCGGGGACGCACATTTGCTTTCTGACCCCCATGACCATCGCGATGTATGAGGCATTGCACGCTGGTCTCTTCAGAGGGGTTCGACCTGCGGTGCACGGGCCCGTTCGCGTCTGGATTGGTGGGACCTCTTAGTTGAATCTTTTGTTTTCTGAGAGACACGCGTGTCTTGTCAGCCACATGAGCACTGCCAAGATGTAGATGGCCTGGCTCCAGGCCTTGCATAGAGAGAGTCGGCCTGAGACGTTGCAGGGGCCTATTCGCACCCAGATTGGTCAGACCTCTCGTGTGGATCATTTGTTGTCGGGGACATGTTTTCTCTCAAAGCCCCATGGTCACCGCGATTTAGCAGGCACTGCAGTTTGGTGCTTGAAGTGGAGGTTCGACCTTGGGGTTTCTCACGGGCCCGTTCGCGCCTGGATTGGTGGGACCGCTTAGTCAAAACCTGAACTTGATCGGAGAGACGCGCGTGTCTTCTCAGAGCACCACGGCGATTGCCGCGGTGTGCCAGGCATGGCTTCAGGCCTTGCATCGAGGGAGTCGGCCACGTGTGTTGCCCGGGCCCGCTCGCTCCTAGATTGGTCGGACCTCTCGGGTTGAACAGCTGTTGTCAGGGACTTTTGTGTTCTCACAGGGCCCCATGATCATCGCGATGTAGGAAACATGGCTTTGGGGCCTCGCAAGGTGGGTTCGACCTGACGTGTTGCACGTGATCAGTCGCACTCAGATTGGTGGGACGTCCAAGGTCGAAAGCTTGTTTTTGGGGAGACACGTGTCTCTTTTGAGAGCATCGTGACCATCGCGATTTACCAGAGCATCGTGACCATCGCGATTTAAGAGGGCGCCCAGATTGGGTTCCAAGATTTGACGGGTGGAACTGCTTCTTGGGCGGGAAAGACGCGGTCTCTTCAGAACCAAATGGTCCTCACGTTGAATCAGGCATGGTATCCCAAGAGGGTGTCGACCAGAAATGTTTCACAGGCCAGTTCGGGCCCAAATTGGCGGAACATCGCGGCTGGAATTACCGTTTTGGCGCGGTAGCCGCGTCTTTTTTCAGAACCCATTGATCACCGCGATGTATGAGGCATCATCCCACGAATGTCCAGACGTACTGGTACCCACCCGATCACAATGAAGTCCACCCATACACAGATGGGCTTACAGATGCACATAACGTACTCGGGCGCACTGTCACACAAGCCCGTTCGCATCCCAGTGCCAGGACTGGGACAGATCTTTCGAGGGCATTCCAGAACTCTCGTAGCGCGCTCCAGAGCGGTCTGGAACGGCTGCGGCGCCCGACACATGCTCCAGAAACGCCGGCTCTGAGAGACCACCGATTTGTCGCAGTGCGATGCTGTCCCAGTCTCGTTTTCGTCTTCCCCTCCTTTTCCCCTCCGTTTTTCGCTCTTCGACTCCTCGCTCTCCTGCCCGTTTCTGCTCCTTGCCTGGCCCGCTTTGTTTCGTCGGCCCGTCCCTCGGTCCGAATAAGAGCTGCAGTGGCCCGCACAGCCGCGCTGGCGAATAGTCGGGCGTGGGACGAAGACTTGCCGACGTCGTTGTTGTACGACATGTTCAAGGGGAGGCCTGAACGTATGCTTATTAGTACAATTAACTGTTCAATGTAATTAATTATTATTACTTTATTATTATGTTTGAATCATTATTACTCTTCCTATGCATAGTGGTATCATTCTGATTATTCGAATTAGTCTAGTAAGTATTAATATGTGTTATTAACATTAACCTGATTGTTACTACTATCATCATTCTTATTATTCAATAATCTTGGCTAGCGCTCTTCGACCCCCCCGGTCACGCGCACAGGGGGGTCGGGGCGGAGAGGGAAAGGCTTCTCAGAAGCACCCCTGCTTCTTCTAGAAGGCACGTGCCCTGTCTAGATAGACGTAGGGCCGGCGCCTTCTAAGAAGCAGCCTCCCTCTGAGAAGCCTTGCCCCGTCCCCCTAACCCCCGGGTGCGCGCCGCCAGCCTGGGGAAACCTGCAGGCACCGATACCGCTACTCCCCGGACCTCTCCCGGGGTGCGTCCTGACCAGGATCTCGAGGCGAATCCGGCGGTGGCGACGAGGGCCTCCCAGGAGGCCCAGAAAGGAGGAAAACGGGGCGAAGGGTTGCGGCATGGGTACCTTTTCCCCCTCTGCCAGCCCCCCCATTGATGGGCCTGTGTTCGACCTCCACCCCTTTCAATTGGATGGGGGGAGGAGGTGGAGAACGAGGAGGAGGAGGAGAGGAGGAGGAGGAGGAGGAGGAGGAGGAGGACGAAGAGGAGGGAGGAGGAGGGAGGAGGAGGAGGAGGAGGAGGAGGAGGACCCCCTCCCCCTCCAACTTATGTTGGTGGTGGTAGAAAACAGGCCCATCACCCGTGGCCGCACCCCCGCGCAGGCAAGTGACGACCGAGCGCCAGAGGGCGGCCTCTCGGCTGGGCGCCGCGCGGCGGCTCCGCCAGGCCGACCGGGCCCGCCTCCTCCCCGGGCCTCCTCGTGGCGCGAGGCTGCGGGCTGCGGGCACTGCGACTTACCACCTCCTCCTCCTCCTCCTCCTCCTCCTCCTCCTCC